ATCCATATTTCAGGGTTGTGGGCAGAAGCTGCCTTTCATTTGAAGGTGTTTGCAGGGTGCTTTATGTCAGATGAGAGGTAGCTGAGGGAGCAGCAGGAGTTTGTCCAGGCAAAGCAGGGATGGGGTGCTGGGGGTGCCATGGCTGCAACCCCAAGGCGTGCCCAGGGTGGTGCCCAGCAGAACCAACAGCGCTGTCACCCTGAATTGCAGTTCTTCAAGATGGGCATCGCCATGTTCTTCATAGAGATGCGCGGCTCCACCATCCGCGAGGCCAAGAGCCGCAGCTTCGAGCTCATCACCCCCTCCAAAACATTCAGGTACCCTGAGATCCAGAGGCATGGGCAGGGAGGAGCAGCCCAGGGCTGGGTTGGGCGCTGGTGGCTGCAGCCCCTGAGCTCGGGCTGTGCTGTGCTCCCAGCTTCGTGGCCGAGTCGGAGCGGGAGAAGCGGGAGTGGATGGAGGCGCTGCAGGAGGCCATCGCCGAGATGCTCTACGACTACGAGGTGGCAGAGAAGATCTGGTCCAACAAAGCCAACAAATACTGTGCTGACTGCTGGGCTCAGAGTCCTGACTGGGCGTCCATCAACCTGTGCGTGGTCATCTGCAAGCAGTGTGCAGGTGGGACAGCTCCTGGGGGGCACAGGGGCATCCTTGGGGTGTGGGCTGGGCTGGCCTAGGCAGGCACGGTGCTGCCCGGGGTGTGGGCATAACTTGGGGCTCAGCTCCCTGGGCAGGATCAAGGGATGCTGACTCTCCTGCTCCCTGCAGGGCAGCACCGCAGCCTGGGCTCCAACATTTCCAAGGTGCAAAGCCTGAAGCTGGACACCAGCGTCTGGTCCAATGAAATCGTGCAGGTGAGACACTCGAGGATGTAATGAAATTGTGAAGGTGAGGCACTTGGGGGTACAATGAAATTGTGTAGGTGAAGCACACAGGGGTGCAAGGAAATCATGCAGGTAATAAGATCAGGGATGCAATGAAGTTGTGCAGGTGAGACACTTGGAGGTGCAATGAAATCACACAGGTGATAATCTTGGGGGTGCAATGAAATCACACAGGTGAGACAGGAGTGCAATGAAATCATGCAGGGGAGGCACTTTGGGGTGCAATGAAATCACAAAGGTCAGGCATTTGGGGGTGCAATGAAATTGTGCAGGTGATACACTCGGGGGTGCAATGAAATCATACAAGTGAGACAGGAGTGCAATGAAATCATGCAGGTGAGGCAAATCACGAAGGTGAGGCACTTGGGTGCAGTGAAATTGTGCAGGTGATACACTTGGGGGTGCAGTGAAATTGTGCAGGTGAGGGATTTGGGAGTGCAATGAAATTGTGCAGGTGAGACAGGGGTGCAAGGAAATCATGCAGGTGATACACTCAGGGGTGCAATGAAATTGTGCAGGTTAAGCACTCAGGAGTGCAGTGAAATTTGCAGGTGAGGCACTTGGGGTGGAATGAAATTGTGCAGGTGAGACACTCAGGCCAGGGCATGCTGTGCTCAGGGGCCAGGCTGCTCCTGGCAGGGCAGCATCCGCACAGCCTCCCTCAGGATGCAGAACTCTGGGAATCCTGCTCCCTCTGCTGACCCTGGGGCTCGCCATGACCACGGGACTCTCCCTCAGCTCTTCATCGTGCTGGGAAATGACCGAGCCAACCGGTTCTGGGCCGCCCGGCTCCCCTCCAGCGAGGCCATCACCCCGGAGAGCGGCGCCGAGCAGAGACGGGAATTCATCGCCCGCAAGTACCGGGAGGGCCGGTACCGCCTGCCCCACCCTCACTACGGCACTCAGGAGGAGGTGCTGCAGGTAGGGGACACCTCCAGGGGCTGGAGCCACCCCAGAGCCCCTGGCCTGAGGTGCCAGCCCCTCCTACCTGGCTGCGTGTGCTCGCTCCCTCATGCCAGGCAGATTTTGGGAGGTTGTGCCCTGGTTTGGCTGCCTTGGGGCAGCGCTGGGGTCTCCATGAGCAGGGTGGGATCCCTAAATGTGGCTGTTTCACCCCAGGCGCTGTGCTCTGCAGTGGCAGGACCAGCCCTGCTCAAGACCATCCTGCAGTTCTTCTCATCCTCGGAGGCTGCTCTGGCCTCTGACCCTGCTGCCAGCGAGGCGGCACCGGGGGCCGACCTCTGGTGGGGACCAGAGAGCAAAAGGCCCAGGAACCTTTCAGGTAAAGAGGAGCCTTGAGCTTCATCTGGCTGTGGTGGAGGAAATTCCTGTTTGCTGCTGGCCCTGCCCCTCCTGGCATGGCCCAAGGCCGGGGACACTCAGGCTGTCAGCGCTCCCTTGTGGGACTCACCCTGTTGAAGGATTCCTCTGGGATCTCTGATTAGCAGGTCCCTCTGGAGTCCCTTTTCAGGGAACCCCATGCCTGCACACCCCTTTGCCTACACCTGCATGAGGGGATCTCCCTCTGTACCCACAATTTGGTGGGTTCCTGCTCCCCCCACCTTGGGTTGTGGTTTGATAATTGCTGCCCCGAGATGTGCAGGATGTCTCTGCTTCGGCCCACACAGCTGAAGAACGAGTGGACTCTTCACTTTTCGGTCTTGAGGTTGTTCATTAATTCTTATCTATAAAATTTTCTTTCTGCCCAGCCGAGATCTGCTCAGCAGGGCAGCCATAGGCACTCTGACCGCCCCCAAGGTGGTGTTGTCCTTTTATACTACAAACTACGTATAACATATTTACACTTAATTCCCAATAACCATCACCTATGTTAAACAGTGAACTCCTATTCTGAACCAACCCCAAAGTGCTAGCATCACTGCAGAAAATGGAGAACAAGAACAAGAAGAAAGGCTGGACATGCCCAAGTTCCTCCATCTTGTCCCCATAACCCCCATACCAAAAATCCTAAAATCTACATTTTCACCTTGTGATCATTTTGTTATTACACTGTTCAAACCTGTGTGACTTTCAGGTCCTCATACAAAGCTGGTAATTTGCTCCAGGGGTCAAAATCAAATCCCCAGGTGTTCTGGACTGCCTGCCAGGGTCTCTGAGCCCCCCGGCGGGGTCCTCAGCAGCTCTGGATACCCAGAGGGATGCACTGAGTTCCGACACCCCCCACCCTCCATATGTGTCCCACAGGGAGCCCCCGCACACAGGACCCGGGTCCCGAGGGTGTGTACAACGAGATCACCCAGCCAGTGACGCACAGCGGGTACCTGTACCGGGCCACGGCCCCCCCAAAGCTCCCAGGGGCCAGGAAGAGCAAAGAGGGTGAGTGTGGGCGCTGGGGAGGGCAGGCAGAGGGTGCCCACCCCGGTGCCACTGAGCCCCCGTTCCTGCAGACTTCCAGCGCACGTGGTGCTCCCTGGAGAGAGCCCTGCTCTTCTTCGAGACTGAGAAATGCACTGAGCCCCTTGGCCACATTGACTGCGGGGATCTCCTCTCCCTGGGGGTCAACAGAGCCCACCAGGCACTCACCAGCCCTGGGACCACTGAAAGGTACCCCCAGCCGTGCCCCCAGTCCTGCCCAGAGAGCCTGGGGCACACAGACAGCAGGGCTGGGCTCCCTGCTCTGGCTCTGGGGGCAGGGACAGGGTTGCCCTCATGGCTGCTTCATCCTCTGCAGGTTTCGCTTCACCCTTGAGCTCTTCCTCACTGGGGAAAAAGTGCAGCAGCTGGGAACTGATGGGCCCGAAACACTGCAGGCCTGGGCCAGCGCCATCGGCAAGGTGAGCCAGCCCCAGCGTGTCCCCAGACTGCCCCTGCTCACCCACTGTGATTCCTCATGGCTCCCCATGCCCTTCATCCACTCTGGGAAGCCTCTCCGCCCTTTCCAGGGCTCCTGTCCTCCCTGGTGAGCTGCCCCCTGTGATGGTGTTTGCAGGGGTCTCAGGTTGAGGAAAGAGACGAGAATTTTACTCCATGTTTCAGAAGGCCTGATTTATTATTTTATGATATATATTACATTAAAACTACACTAAAATAATAGAAGAAAAGGTTTCATCTCAGAAGGCTAGCTAAGCTAAAAATAGAAAGGAAAAGAATGATAACAAAGGCAGCTGCCTCTGACTCTGTGTCCAAGCCAGCTCTGCTGTGATTGGCCAATAATTAGACACAACCACATGAGACAATCACAGATGCACCTGTTGCACTCCAGAGCAGCAGATAACCATTGTTTACATTTTGTTCCTGAGACCTCTCAACTTCTCAGGAAGAAAATATCCTAAGGAAAGGATTTTCATAAAAAGATGTCTGCCACAGACAGCATCCTCATGGGTTGTCTTCACCCCACTCATGTCCTCTTCCATCCCACAGTGGTTCACCCCCGTGAGCTGCCACTGCCTGCTGGGCTACGAGTTCCAGCGCGTGGGGCAGCTGCGCTACAAGTGCATGCTGAACCCCGAGCGCTGGCAGAGGGCCTTCTTCATCCTGCAGAAGAGCCACCTCTTCATCTGCCCCGCCGAGGAGGACGGGGCCGAGGACAGCATCAACCTGCGGCGGCTGCAGGAGCTCAGTGAGTGCCGGGAGCTCACAGGGCCAGGACGGGCACCATGGTGGCCCTGTGTGGCTCTGACTGCTCAGCTTCTCGCCCAATGCAGGTCTGGTTCCCCCCACGGACACCCCGGAGAAGAAGGAGCTGCTGGTCCTGGTGGAGATGGGGAGGTGAGTCCTGGCCGTGGGGGTGTTGGGGAGTGAGCCAAGCAACTCAGCTTGCTGCCCAGGGCAAAGGCACTTTGGGATGTGCTGGGACTCAGGTGTTTGTTGGTTCTTATCTATGTCGCAGTCTCACAAACCCTGAGTTCTACAGAACTTCACTCTAACAAAACTGAAAACAGAGCCCCATCTCTCTCTCTACAAGCCCTTTTAAGGATAAACTGTCCAAAATAAGAAATGATACCTAAATTATTTTTACTTTTAATCCAATAACCAACTACCTGTGCCCACAATGTGGACTTCTTTATCCAATTGCACAAAACCACCCAAACCCATGGAGAAGAAGGTGAAGAAAAACAACTAGCCTCTGCCCTAAAACCTCCATCTTGCTTTTTATATATTATTTATAATAATATATATTATAAATATATATTATTTTTATATATTACTGTATTCTAAAACCCCAAACTCTAAGTTTCCCACCATGTGATATTACACACTTCTATTCAAACTCTACACCCACAATCCCAGTTCTGTCATTCCATTTTGGAAGCCTTCTCCATGGCCTCGGTCAGATGAAATGTTCTCTTGGGGGTCAGTGCCTGTCAGCACAGAAAGTCTGAAATTTCCGGGGTTCCAACAGGGATGGACCAATGCTGATCCCACATCCCTGGTGGAGACGTTACAGGGACAGCAGGGCTGAGACTGAGGGCTTTGCAGAGGGGTTTTGGTGGTGCAGAGGGGTTTTGGTGGTGTAGGGTGTCCCTCAGCTCAGCCTGGCTCCCTGTCACAGGCGGGAGGGATAACCTGCCCCTGGGACTACCCTCATTCCCTCTTTTCTGCCCTTGTTGTTCTCAGGACATTTTACCTGCAGGGCTTGTCGCGGGCAGACTCGGCAGCGTGGTACAGTGACATCCAGGCCTCGGCAGGGGGCCGGGGCAACGCTCTGAGGGACCAGCAGCTGAGCAGGGCAGACATCCCCATCATTGTGGACTCCTGCATCGCCTTCATCACCCAGTACGGTGAGCCCAGGACCCCCAGCACCCTCCAACACTTCAGGATAGCCAAAACATCCAAGCAGGAGGCACCACTCCAGAGCCACCAGCCCCATGAGGGATTCTCTGAGCAGGACCCGGCCCCTGTGACCCCGTGTCCCTGTCCCAGGGCTGCGGCACGAGGGGATTTACCGCAAGAACGGCGCCAAGTCCCGCATCAAGGTACTGATGGAGGAGTTCCGGCGGGACGCCCGCAACGTCAAGCTGCGCATCAGCGACAACTTCATCGAGGATGTCACTGACGTGCTCAAGAGGTTCTTCAGGGAGCTGGAAGATCCCATCTTCACCCTGGAGCTGCACCCGCAGTGGAAGGAGGCTGCAGGTACCTCCTTCACCCAGCCCTGCTCTGCACTGGGTTCCCTGTGTAGGTGCATTGGGGGGTAGGACAGTTGGGATGGACGGAGATGAGAGATCTCTGCAGCCAGGTCAGGAACTTGGGGTTTATTGCAAAGGGCCTGGGTGCAGGGCCCTGCTGGGAGCTGCCAAACACAGCTCAGAGCAGCCCGAGAGAGGAGAGGGAGAGAGAGGATGAGAGGGTAAGAGAGTAAAAGGGTAAGAGCATAAAGGGGTAAAAAAATAAACAGGGTAAGAGAGCAAAGTTCCCGTTACAATACCATAAATCTTCTTCTGTGTTCAATATCTTGATTCTCATTAACCAATCTAGTACAAGATACAAATCCCACAGCATTTCCATACAGCCTATAAGAATCACTACATTACCACACTGTGTTACATTTTAAACCCTAAAATCTCCTCTTTGGGCCCCTTCTGCCAAGCTGTAGGGTCTGCTCTGACCCTTGGAGCTGTCTGCAAGCAGAGGGTGTTGTTCCATCAAAAGGGGATTACCTTCAGCTGGCCACACCATTGTTTTCCAGTTGTTCAGTAACTGAGGGATCTCAAAGCTTGCCTTCATTTCAATCTCACTTATAGTTTCTATATTCTCAAAATCTTTTTCCAGACAATCATATTGATAAGACTTTCCTGTTTCATCTTCCCCAACACCCTGGGGCCAGGGTGGGATGGGTCCTGGTGCCTGCCTGGGTGCTGTGTCCCCTCTGGATCACTGGGTTCAGCCAGGATCTGGTTTTCCTCCCTCCAGAGATCTCCTCGAAGCCGCAGCGCTTGGAGCAGTACAAGGAGCTCATCCATCGCCTGCCTCGCCTCAACCACAAGACCCTGGCTGCGCTCATCGGGCACCTCTACCGGTCAGTGGGGCCCCCAGTCAGGGTCCCCATGTCCAGCCAGCCCTGTGGGGTCTCCCTGCTGCCCAGGGAATGCTGGCTCCTATCCCTAAGAAACAATGAGTGCCCATGCCCTGCTCCACCCACACAGCTGGTGCTGGGACACCTTGTACATTCCCAAAGTCATCCTGCAGCAAGGGGGAGCAACAGGAGGGCTGGGACTAGGGGACAGCACCCTGCAGGCTGTAAATGTCATCCAGTGCCCCAAAAAGACAGAAAACAGTCAATTCCCATTGTGAGTCAGAGTTTGAGGTAGCGCCCTTGTCTGATTTGATGTCAGAGGGAAGTTCTCAAAACAGGAACTGCCCAGTTTGGAGTTTCCACTGCTGAGGGGCTGGGGACATTCAGGCTGTTTGTATGAGGCAGAGGAGGCTGGCTGGGGCTGAAACCTTGAGCAGGACTAGCCCCTCACCTGTGTGCTCCTTGTGCCAGGGTGCAGAAATGTGCAGACCTCAACCAGATGAGCACCAAGAACCTGTCGCTGCTCTTCGCACCCAGCCTCTTCCAGACCGACGGCAAAGGGGAGCACGAGGTCAAGGTGATGGAGGATCTCATTGACAACTATGTCAGCATCTTCAATGTAAGCAGGGGCCTGCAGCCCCCTCCATGCTGGCTCTGATCCCCCCACAGCCCCACCTCTGCCTCCCTCTGTGTGCCTCCACCCTGGCCCTGTGTCCTCAAGCCTGATCCTGCTCCACGCTGACCCTGTGCACCCTTCCTCTGGCAGATTGATGAGGATCAGGTATCCCAGATGGATCTGGAGAACAGCCTGATCACCACCTGGAAGGACACCCAGGTACTGGGAATGTGCTTGTTGGCCCCTGCCACATCAGGGACCCCTGGGCTGGAGGGACTGGCTGGAGGATGGGGACACTCCCAGCTGCCCACCATGGGTCCCCACTGTCCCATATCCACATTTGGGAAAGGATGTTCCCCTTCTTATCTCCCCTGTGCCCACCACCCTGAGGCTTCTGCCCAGGGGGAGGAGCAGCCCCAGTTTCCCAGGACACCATCTCCAGCCCTGGGAAGGTGGGATGTGCTCAGCACCCACACCAACACCTCACCAATGCCACCGCTCTCCCTGCAGCTCTCCCAGGCAGGAGACCTCATCATCGAGGTGTACCTGGAGCAGAAAGTGTCCGACTGCTGCGTCACCCTGAAGGTGAGTCCCAGAGCAGGGCTGTGCCAGAGCACGTGGGGAGGGAGCTCCTGGCTTCCCTGGGACCCATCCTGCGCCACCCACTGCAGCAGCTCCCCGTGTGTCTGGCCCCAGGTGTCCCCCACCATGACCGCAGAGGAGCTGACCAACCAGGTGCTGGAGATGCGCAACGTGCCCGCCAGCCTGGACATCTGGCTGACCTTCGAGGCTCTGGAGAACGGGGAGCTGGGTGAGCACGGGGAGCTGGGTGAGCACGGGGAGCTGGGTGAGCACGGGGAGCTGGGTGAGCACAGGGGATGGCCCAGGGGGTGCTCCTGCCATGGCCAGGCTGGTGAGGGACAGGCATGGGGGACAGCGAACCAAAACCACCTAGAACAAGAACCCACCAACTGCAAGCAAGTCTTTGCTACAACAGTAATTCTAGCTCAACTATTCATCCTCTCAGCCTTCTCGGCCTCAGAGCTAAATACTCTTTTACATCGCATTCGAAGCTACCCTATTCCCCACCCTCATCCTCATCACACGATGAGGGAGCCAACCAGAACACCTAAATGCTGGCATTTATCTCCTATTTTATACACTCACCAGCTCACACTCACTACTAATTGCTATCCTGCACCTGCACAATCAAATTGGCACACTATACTTCCCAATACTCAAACTTTCTCATCCTACATTAAACTCTTCTTGATCAGGCCTGGCCACAAGCCCAGCTCTTCTCCTAGCCTTTGTAATTAAAGCCTTCCTATACAGCCTGCATCTGTGACTGCCTAAAGCCCATATAGAATCTCCCATTGCCAGTTCCATACTACTAGCAGCCCTGCTTCTAAAACTTGGAGGTTATGGTATTATACGAATCACAATCCTAGTAAACCCAACATCAAACCGCCTTTCTGGTGGTGGCAGAGGGGACAGGAGCTGGCACAGTGGTGACAGTGTCCCTGTGCCCCCAGAGCGGCCCCTGCACCCCAAGGAGAAGGTGCTGGAGCAGGCCTTGCAGTGGTGCAAGCTCCCGGAGCCCAGCTCTGCGTACCTGCTGGTGAGGAAGGTGCCCATCGGCGAGGGCGGCTGTCTCTTCACAGGTAAGGTGGGCACAAAGGGACCCAGCCCCTCAGGGTGTCCCCAGAGGGGGACAGCTCTGCCTGAGCTTCCCCTTGCAGCCATCAGGGGCACATCACTGATCCCACAGTGGGGTCCTGTGATGGTGTGGTTTTTGGATTGGGCAAGAGACAAAGATCTGACTCCATGTTTCAGAAGGTTTGATTTATTATTTATGATATATATTACATTAAAACTATACTAAAAGAATAGAAGAAAAAGTTTTATCAGAAGGCTAGCTAAAATAGAATAAGAAAGAATAATAACAGAAGTTTGTGGCTTCGCTCTCTGTCCGAGCCAGCTGAGCTGTGATTAGCCATTAATTACAATCATCCAACATGAGCTAATCAAAGATCTACTTATTGCATTCCACAGCAGCAGATAATCATCTATTACATTTTGTTCCTGAGGCCTCTCAGCTTCTTAAGAGGAAAACTCCTAAGGAAAGGATTTTTCATAAAAGATGTCTGCAACAGGGTGCCCCTGCAATGCCACCCTGCCAGCCCCCTGACTCTTCTGTCCCCACACTGGGCAGGTGCCAAGCGTGAGACCCCCAAGTGTGGGCTGCTCAAGTGCCGGGAGGAGCCCCCCAAGCTGCTGGGGAACAAGTTCCAGGAGCGCTACTTCGTCATCCAGGACAGGAGGCTGCTGCTGCTCAAGGAGAAGAGGGTAGGGGGGTGCTGTGGGATGGATCTCAGCCCCAGGGGTGGCAGGAGGAGCCTGGGGACAGCAGCGGCACAGAGGGGGCTGTTCTCCTGGCAGGGAGGCTGGCACCAAGCTGGGCTGACCCACTGGATGTCCTTTCCCAGAGTGCCAAGCCAGAGCGTGAGTGGCCCCTGGACGCTGCCAAGGTTTACATGGGCATTAGGAAGAAGCTGAAGCCACCAGCTCAGTAAGTGGGACCTTCCCAGGCATGGCACTGGGGCAGATATCCACCCCTCAGTGCCTGCTCCTGGCACCCAAACCCAGCTGCTGGGGTACACCTGGACACAAAGCCTGTGCCCATGGGGCGAGCTCAGCCCCCTGCCCCACTGCCCACAGCCCCCAGGCTGTGTCTGAGCTTGGCAGTGCTGCCCTACAGCCGTCTGTTCCTTTCCAGGTGGGGTTTCACACTGACCCTGGACAAGCAGCAGCTGTGAGTACCTTCCTCTGCCATCCTGGGGCTGGGGGAGGTTGAGATCTGTCCCCAGTTTTAGTGGGACAGGATGGCCAGGGGCAGTGGTACACAGCCCTGGCGTCAGGGCAGAGCTAGGGCTATTGAGAGACAGAGTGGTGGGGCCACATTGTCCCTGGCACAGGATGGGAGCCAGGCTCCAGGGGCCACCCACATCCCTGCCACACAGCCTCCCTGCCTCCCCACCCACCCCAGCACCCCTGGGTGGTGCTAGGTGCCCTAAAAGCTCCCACCTTGCCCTAAAGCAGCAATTTGGGCACACAGATTTTCAGAGATTTAGCCCCATAGGGTGTAGATGAACCTGAGAGCCTCAGGCTCACAGACAAGGTGACAAGGGGACATGCGCCCCACTGCCCCCATTCCCTGGCAGCTTCTCCACTATTTGCTCTGCAGGTACCTGGTGTGCTCAGGGCAGGCTGAGCTGTGGGA